CATCTGTTCAATCTCTGAATTCTGACCTTTTATTTACAAAATTCTGACCTTTATCTAAGAATTCTGATGTTCTAATCTCAGAATTCTTACTTTTTTCTCAGAATACTGAGATTAAAATTAGAATTCTGAGGAAAAAAATGCCAGAACTCAGGAATTTTTTTGTTGGTGCTCCATAGGCGTACTCCTCTTCTGTAGAACTTAGAGCTAAAGCCATCATCCTATCATCTACTTTATACCACACATAACCCCCTCTCCCCCAACACACCCCACCCCCCGAATATCTTTACCCAAGATTAGATCATTCACAAGGGGAAGGAGTAACTGAGTTAAAAATCAACTAATCTACAACACGTGTCAGAAATAGGTCTCAGATTATATTTAAATAGTAAAGTTGTTGATTGACCAAAAAATTTAGTTCCAATTTGAAAAAAAAGAGCAATGATGCAAAGAAAGGTAGTAACAAAAACAGCTAGAAATAGATAAATAGATAAAATATAGAGTTCTGAGAGACAAATAATTTATTAGTGAATCTAGAGAGTTTGTTTAAAGATATAAAATATGCAGCATTAAATAAAAAGAAACACTCTGTAGATACTGTTATTTTACTAACAGTGTGCTGTTGGACTTGCAGCTTGTTTTTTTTTCTTTTTTTTTCGCAGACAGTTCTGACAAAACGCTAAAGATAAGACATGTAAAAAAGAAAAAGTCCCACGCTCATTCACAGCCAAACACCCACATTAGCAGCAACAAAGTGGAAGTTGGACTCAATCAATTCAAGTTTGGTGCTAAAAAAGAAAAAGTTTCTATCAGCTGCTAAAAAAAATAACCAAAACACTGCCTTTTCTTTTCTCTTTGAAGGACGAGAAGTACTGGACCAGGAGGTACAAGAACAACGAGGCGGCCAAGCGTTCACGGGACGCCCGCCGTCTCAAAGAGAACCAGATATCCGTGCGCGCCGCCTTCCTGGAGCGCGAGAACGCTGCGCTCCGACAGGAAGTGGCCGAAATGCGGAAAGAACTGGGCCGGTGTCGCAACATCCTTAGCAAATACGAGAACCGCCTCGCCGACCAGTGATGTTGGTGCGAAGGAGAAGCTCAAAAAAAAGGAGGAAGACAAGGAGACTTATAAGCTGGATTCTATTTGAGACTCTGGAATTTCTCGGACAGAATGAGGTCAAGATGATGATGCTGATGAAGAAGGTGATTAAATGATGAATGTAAAAGACGAGGAAAAAAAAGGTTTTGAGTACCCAAGCTCAGGTTGTCGGCTCTTAAAAGTGAATGATGGAGAGAATAATTTAACAGAAAACAAATGGAAAAAAAAAACAAAACAAAAAAAAGACGTGACTTTTAAGAGTTTTGTTATTGGAAAAATTGTATATTTTTGTAATACTTCAGAAAAATTTAGAGGGGAGAGCAAATCTGGAGAATAATTTTGTATATTTTCTACGTGTTCAGGACACAGAGATGGGGGGAGAACCCTAGATTTTATTTTCGATGAGTCAGGAGGCGGCCATTTATGGTTATTTTTTTTATTTTTCTCCACTTGATGGTCATGATGCTGCAGCAGGGGTTGAGAACGCATGTAAACAAATGTAATATAGAGAGCAGAGTTATCTTAAAACAATATAGTTCAACATTTTGTGGATTTTACTCGAGCACTTCTTCGGGATTTCTTTGATTTTTTTTTTTTCCCTGTCATGTATCCGTCACTGGGCATGCTCTGTGGAGACTGAATGATGGACACGATGTAAACAGTTCAGCACTATCAACATTGTCTTGTGTCTTTTATTTTTAAATATAAACAATTGCAGCCTTTGTAATCTACATATTTTTTTCTAGTCTCCCAACGATATTTGCTCTTTGCACCTTAACCGGACTTGAGTCCTGACTATTTTTGGATCTTGTTTTTCTTCATCCCTGAGGGGTACTTTCAGTCCACTCCAGTGTTTTTGTGCTGGTGAAAGCCTGTTGTGAAGCCCTGGGTAGTTCTACTCCTCTGCATCCTCTTTATGTTTTCTATATCCACATCTCTATTTCTGTCCCCCCACCTTCCTCGCAGTTCTATGCGAACTCTTTCCACATAAGATATCTCGTGTACTTCTACTTCACGAGAGTACTTAAACCTCAGTGTTCAATATCAGTCCCCCCCTCGCAGTAAGATGCACTTTGTTATTAATGTAGTGTAATAAATGGACATGCTTTAATTAAAAATGCGAAGAGAGAAATGTTAACCGGTTTTTCTGTGTTTTTTCAGGATTTGGATTGATTATCCCCACTGAGTGGAATAGTGTTCAATTCTCAGATTTCTGGGAGAAATAATAATTAAAAAAAGCCAAAATGTCCTATTTTGATCTACACAGCTTGTTGATATTTAGTGTTTTTATTTTCCATACAGCTTTTCTTTTTTTACTGTATCTATTTACCCACAACACCTACACAGGAGCATGAAGTGTCATGTTCCTGGGGGAGGGATGACTAGTATTAGAGTGGTTTTAATCCCTTTAATGACCATGATGAATAGTTATCATTACAGCTATTGTTATTGTTATGATGATTATCCCTCTTATTGTTATTATTCTATAATACTGAATGTTTTTTCTTTCTTTGGATGGACACAATCCACTGCATCCATCTTTGAGTTTTCCTCAGAAAGACTTTCAACAAGGGAGGGTGAAAAAACGAACCCGAACCTCGCCCCACAGACATTCTTACTCCTGCTCTGGACTCTCCTCATCCAGTGATTGTTTTGCTCTTAACAAGAATCACTTTCTATCTGCTGTCTTCACAGATGTGGTTGATAAATCCTGTCTCCTAACTGATCAACTGCTCTGCTGCATCAGTAGTGTCCACATTGCTCAGCCCACCAGTCGGAGTTGGAGCCTTTTATTTTATTTTTTTGGATGTAGTTTAAATTTACCACCCACCCACCCCTAAAAAAACAAAACAAGAAAAAAAAAACACCAATAAAAGATTGTTCTTATTCACTCCAGCTTTGGTTTTATTGAGTGTTTCATGACAAGTTTATTCTTCCCTGAATCTTTCGCAGAAGGATTTTGTGGAAAGTTTGGGAACAATTAATGTCTTATTGGATGTAGATAGGCTATAGCTGTTTGAATAACCTGAAATGTAGAAACAGAATTACAGTATCTTGATGAACAAATGGCTGGTTTGAGCATGACCAGGACCAAAAATGTCACAGTTTGGACTAATTTGGAAAGAGCATTTATGACAGAGTTCCCAAATTGTCTGGTGAAATTCAGTTGGAAAAGCCCTGCCTGCACTAGAAGTGGCACAGCCCGCTACAGTTGTTTAGCTACTACTGCAGTGGCACAGCTAGCTAGCTACTAAAGCTGTGGTGCAGCTAGCTGCAGCTAGCTAGGTATTACTGCTCTTTGTTTTATGTGAATAATTGCTTAATGCAAATTAATTGTGACACAAAGGTTCATGAAAGTGTTTGAATGAACCACTGCAACTTTTCTGAGATCAGAAAAAAAAATAGCATCAATAAACTTTGGTCAAAGTCCTGACCAGCTGTTCGGTCGGTTACTCCAGTCAAAGTTAAACTCTTATTTCTCCAAAGTGAAGTTGTTCAAAGATTTGTTTACAATCTGTAAGATTTGAACTATCCCTTTAAGATTAATCTGGAATTAAAGTCAGTTCTGAGAGGGAGACAGGGCCACAAAGGCCAAAGTTCACCCTGATAACCAGGCGATGATGATATGTCATGGAATTTCTGAAGGGTGTGTTGATCTGCTTATTGTTTGTCCAAATCATGTTTATTCCAAAGCAGTCCAAATATGAAGTCATGCCTTTCTATTTGAACATTTTACACATGACATAACTGAGTGTTTGTTGCATTTATGAGTATAATCACAAATGAGGTCATTTCACTAACCTAACTCAGGTGGAATGAAGCTGTGAGCCGTGTTAACAAAATAAAATCAAGGATTTTAGGGCACCAAGCCAGAAGAGGCTGCCATGCTGAGCAGCACATGCAGAACAGCAACCATGGATTTCCAACTGGCACGCAACAATTTCATCCTTCCACATCGCTCTGAATGCGAGTCGTGCGGCCTTCGTGTCCGTGTCATTCCTTCTTATCCGCTGCTTCACCAGAAATGGGTGAAAGGTCCCTCAGAGTGGAATTTTCCTTGCTTTTTTACTCCAACACAATCCAGATGTTTGCTCCCTGGTTCTCCAAATCTCTCACCCCCTCCCTGAATCCACCCCACCACCTTTCCTCCACCCTTTGTCCCCCTCTTTTCTTTAAAAATGCTGTATCTCCCTCACTCACACTATCTCAAGCCTGGCTTTGAAACATGGACTCTGCACTGCTGCTGCTCTTCTTGTGGGCTCTGATGGGAATGGTGTCCCTGCAGTCTTCAGGTAAGACCACTACCCTTCATTACTCACATTTGGAGGAGGACAGATCCCAGTATACACATTAGAGACAGCAGGACTGTCAGTAAATAGTGAGAATAAATAAAAAAACGATCCTCACTGACACATCAGTTCTGAATGTTTTGCTGTGTTTGGATCCATCAAGCAGCCAGGTTCTGGAAGTTAGTTTTATTAATCATCAGGACCCAAATTTAAAGTTGTATTAAAATGTCTTCGAATCGCTGTGGCTTTTAAAAATGTTTGTCCTGCTGATAATTCTTTATCACAACTTTTCAGTGTGCTGGAAGCTGTTAGGAGCTTAGAAATCAATGTAATAAAGGCAACTTGACCCCAGTACATCATCATTCACCTTTTAGTTTTAGGTTTTCCATTATACATATTTATTAAAATAATTAAAGTATTAGCAGGCCATAGAGGAAAGCTTATCGCCTGTCAAATTTCATGTCAGAGTTTTAAACTAAAATCACTTTTTACTGACAAAAGTTGGAGGTGTAGCCACTTTTGGTCAAACTGAACGAGGTCATTTGCAAGTCACATGCAACACTGTGAGATACTGTGCTCACAATATATGTTGAGAATGACTCTCAGCTACTACCATATCAGATTTTAGCCGAATTTCTGTAAAACAGAAAGAGTAACAGTCTTTTCTTGAGTTTGGATTGACTCAAAAAAATTAATCAGTTATAGAGATAGCTTCAATGATTATTACTTGAAAATTTAGTTAAAATTTGTCCCATGGTTTATGAGATATTTTGCTAAAAGTAAGACTGAGTTTTGTGCGATCAGGTAGCATTCAGAGTGAATCAGTCTAAGGTTCTACCACACCAAATTTTAACTCAGTATGTGTAAAACAGACTGAGTTAGAGCTATATTTTATTTGATAGGTTCCATTAGCTGTGGCAGCCATCTTGAATTGGGTTGACTCCAAACATTGAGGATGTTTTTTCAATGATTTATCGAAAAGAAAAAGGATTAATAGCTGAAAGGCAAGGATGAACAAAACCTGACATCAAAAGGAAAAAAAATTGTATAGGTCTTCTGGACGGGTTCTTCTTTAATGAAACGTTTCGTCTCTCTTCCAAGAGACTTCTTCAGTCTGAGAGTTTCAGGCAAAATTCAGGCTTTTGAGTCCTGCCTCCATGTGACTGATACTCACATCACATGGCTATCGTTCACACCTAATTAACACCTATTTTTAACAGGGGGTGGAGTGATACTGCCAATGGCAGCGCTGTAGGAGGGGGACAACTGAAAACGGAGGCCTCCACCTCTGTTTAATGATGGACGGTCTTTCTTCACAAAAATGGCTTCTTTTACTCCTCTCTCAAACCAACGTTCCTCTCTATCAAGAATGAGAACATCCTCATCTCTGAAAGAGTGACCGCTGGCCTGTAAATGAGTGAAAACTGCAGAGTTCTGGCCATTAGATGTAGCTCGTCTGTGTTGGGACATTCTTTTGAACAGTGGTTTCTTTGTTTCCCCGATGTATAACTGGTCGCAGTCCTCCTGGCACTTAACAGCATATACAACATTGCTCTGTTTGTGCCCCGGCACAAACAAATTGGTTTGAGAGAGGAGTAAAAGAAGCCATTTTTGTGAAGGAAGTCCGTCCATCATTAAACAGAGGTGGAGGCCTCCGTTTTCAGTTGTCCCCCTCCTACAGCGCTGCCATTGGCAGTATCACTCCACCCCCTGTTAAAAATAGGTGTTAATTAGGTGTGAACGATAGCCATGTGATGTGAGTATCAGTCACATGGAGGCAGTGCTTAAAAGCCTGAATTTTGCCTGAAACTCTCAGACTGAAGAAGTCTCTTGGAGGAGAGACGAAACGTTTCATTAGAGAAGAACCCGTCCAGAAGACCTATACAATTTTTTTTCCTTTTGATTTTTTACCTGGATTACTGAGATGCATCAGAAAACCTGACATCCTAAATTTTAATTATCTGACAATCTGGGTGGTTAATGTTTACTTGTCCACTCACACAGCCGGCCGTCTCTTTATGAAAAAAATAATACATGTAAACAGTGATAACTGTAAAAGTGTATTCTTGTGTGTGTTTGACAACAGAGCGGTGTCCTGAGAGACTCCAGGAACAGGAGAGGAGGAAATTGTGTCCTCGGTCCTGCAGGTCGGACAAAGACTGTGCCAGCAAACGTCAGTGTCTGTGTGATGGTCAGTGTGGTCTCAGCTGTGTGGCTCCAGGTAAATACTGCATGTTTGTGTTCTTTTGGTCTCCCTGTCATTGAAATGACAGATATGAAGGCCTAAACTGTTCTTTTCATCACAAGTTTAAAATAAAACATAACCGTTTATGATGAGAACGGATGAATACATTTTGGTAAAACTCAGTAAAAATGACTTGATGAGCAATCATGTACCACATTGTGAGATCACACAAGACATATCAGTGCTGAAAGTATTTGTTGAGGGTGACTCTCAGCTACTACCACAGATATATCAATAGAACTGACTGAGATATAGCTAGCTGTGGCTTTACATCCACTGTTAATGTTTTGAAACTTCATTAAAAGCTTTTTATTAAAAACACTTTTCATCTAGCTTTTTGCCACTTTTAGTTATTAATAAGTCTTTTACTACTGTCCCTTTCCCTTTTTACATATCAATGTTTATACATTTAGCTTTGGTAGCATTCCACTACTTTTAGCATTTAGCTGACATTTTGCCATTTTGACCTTCTAAACTAGCTCGTTGATACTTTCAGCTGCTTCTAGCTTTCAGTTTACTAATATTACATTTAGCCTTTTGCTGATTTTAGCCATACTGTATGTGGGGCGACTGTGGTGGAGTGGTTAAGGGTGTCGTCCTGGAACCGGAAGGTCGCCGGTTTGACCCCCCCGTCCAGCCATCTCAGTTGTGGTGTCCTTGGGCAAGACACTTCACCTGCCTTGCCTACTGATGGTGGTCAGAGGGTCCGGTGGCGCTGGTTCATGGCAGCCCCACCTCTGTCAGTGTGCCCCAGGGCAGCTGTGGCTATGTAGTTTACCATCATCAGTGTATGAATGGGTGAATGTCTGTAGTGTAAAGCACTTTGGGGTCCGGAGGGACTTGATAAAATGCTCCATAAGTTCAGTCCATTTACCATTAGCTTCAAGCTAGTTTTTGCTACTTTTATTTTAAGCTCTTTGCTACATTTAGCTTTTAGCTAGCCTTTTGCTACTGGGGCGGCTGTGGCAGAGTGGTTAGGGGAGTCGTCCTGGAACCGGATGGTCACCAGTTCGATTATCTGTCCAACTGTCTCAGTTGTTGTGTCCCTGGGCAAGACACTTCACCCTTAATGCCTCTGATGTGTCCCATCAGTGTATGAATGTGATTGGCACTGATTAGTCTCCATAGCTGATTGTACGTTAGCTTTGTAGGGACCTGATAGAGTGCTGTGTGAATGGGTAAATGAGGACACAGATTGTAGTGTGAAGCGCTTTGAGTGTCCTGGATGGATAGAAAAGTGCTATTTAAGTACAGTCCATTTACTTTATGTTTTAGCAACTGTTTTTTTACTTGCATTTTTTGCTATGTCTTTACTATAGTATTTTGCTAAAAATTTGGTACTTTTACCTTCCGGCTACTGCTTTGCTATATTTAATTTTTAGTTATCTTTGCTACATTTAGCATTTAATAACATTTTGCTAGCTAACACCTAGCATTTTGACACATTTAAGTAGCCTTTTGCTACTTTTAGCTTCTAGCTGCTGTTTAACTATTTTTTTTTAGCTATCTCTTTGGTACATTTATCTTCTAGTGGTTTGTCACATTTAGCTTCTAGATAGCCTTTTGATACATATGGCTAGCCTTTGTCACTGTTAGCTACCATTTTGTATCTTTTAGTTTTTAGTTTTAAGCTCAGTTTTTAGCAAGCTTGATCTTTGAAAGTCAATTTTGAATCAAAAAAGACTCCGAGATATTTGCATTTTTCAACCACATCAAGTTTCTCTCCATTAACAACATTTTCTTCATGGCCTTTTGTTGATTGATGAAAAAAAACATACAGTTTGTTTGACATTGAGATGCAAACAGGAATTTTTTAACCAGTCATATACTGCAGTGTTTCCCAAAGTTGGGGTCGGGACCCAAAGTGGGGTCCCGAAACATCAAGGTGGGGTCCTGAAAAGATTTTCTGAATTAATTGCATTTTTGTCTTAGTTGTTTCAAAGGAGTGAGATTAATACATTTAAAATGGATAAATGTAGTATAAAAAATTGTTACTGTGCCCATGTTTTGTTGACCTGATACAAAAGTTTATCA